TTCTTTGGGGACCCATCTTTGTGCGTTGTGGTGGAGCAATTGGAACATATACCGCACATCCAAAAATTCTTAGATGGGAAATATTTGGCTCCTGACCAAAAGCCAACTGTAATGGGGAGACTTTATGATAACTGGTGGGCCTTATGCACACAAATGTTGTTGCATGCAAAATAGCATGTCCCCACAATGAAAGGGAAAGTTTTTTCCTCATTAGCAATGGTCTAGCTATTAGTTGGAGACATTTAATCAATGATTCTGCTAGACCATTTTGAGTATGAATATGAGCAACCGGATGCTCAACTTTTATTCCAGTGGCCATACAATAATCTGTAAAGGCCTGAGATGTAAATTCACCAGCATTATCAAGACGAATTGTCTTAATTGCATAATCTGAAAATTATGCTCTTAACCTTATTATTTGGGCCAATAATCTCGCAAATGCCATATTACGAGTTGACAATAAGCACACATGTGACCATCTTGTAGATGCGTCTATCAAGATCATAAAATACTTGAATGGTCCACATGTAGTGTGTGTAGGCCCATATATATATCATCCTGTATACGTTCCAGAAATGCAGGGGATTCAATCCTAACTTTAATTGCTGATGGTTTAATAACCAATTTTCCTTGAGAACAAGCAGCACAAGAGAATTCCTTAAATGGAAGAATCTTCTTGTTCTTCAATGTGTGTCCATTTGAATTCTCTATTATTCTATGCAGCATGTTAGAATCGGGATGGCTCAACCGATCATGCCAAATTATAAAATCATTAGAAGTAGTAAACCTTTTGTTTACTATGGCATGTGATTCAACCATACCAATGTTTGTGTGGTACAACCTAGAAGAAAATGCGGGTAATTTTTCGTGCACATATTTTTACCTACTTTTATTGTAGTAATATAAATGTATTCTACCTTTCCTTCGTTTGATGTCTCAACATGATAGCCGTTTTGGCGAAAAACTTTGAAACTCAACAAGTTTCTTTGAGACTTACTACAATATGCATTATCAATAGTTAATATCGTTCCTCCAGGTAGTAATAAGGACGCTCTTCCAGAGCCCTCAATCAACTTTGTACTACTAGTTATTGTATTAACATAGGCCTTTTTCATAACCAAATAAGAGAAAAATTTCTTTTCTCTTAATATTGTGTGAGTTGTAGCACTATCCAAAAGACATAAATCTTCATTACTCATCTTGGATCCAATTGAAGATTGGAAAATTTTAATCTCTTCATAAAAAAAATACATCATGAGAAATACGGAAAAACTAACATCACCAATGACAACATAAGACAACTTAAGTACTACTTGAAAATAAAAACAACTTTAGACGAGACAAAAACACTAAAAATAAAATAACAACATCATTGCATTCCCTAGTAAAATGATAAAACTTTAGTTTTGATATCCAAAGAAATATACAACTTCCAAATGAGTAAGATCATTGAGGCCTTGAAAATCATCATCATTCAAAGCAAGATTTGCCTCGGCATTGTCATCATTTTTGTTTGAAGGCCCTGCCTCAAAATCATTTTTAAAGTTCAAGTGAGACTTCACTAGGGCATTAGCAGAAGATGCTCCAACATTATTTGCCTTTCTTTTGATGGAGTTTTGATAAAGCCTGACAAAATGCTCTGGTGCACGACATTTAATTTTTCAATGACCTTTAATGCCACAACGGTGACAATTACCGCTTTTGCCTCTTGAAGGATTGTTTTGAGAACCCATATTGTTCTCTCGTTTGCCATGACCATCACGATGACGACTATTATATCGTCTCTTACCATTTCCATGCCCACGTATATTCATATGGCCATGATTATTATTTTGTCTTTTTCCAGACTTATCACGTCTAATTGCCATATTCGCTTTAGGAAGCGGAGCTGACCCTGTGGGACGAGATTTATGATTTTTCAGCAAAAGGGTATTATGTTGCTCAGCCACCAGAAGGCATCAGATCAATTCAGAATACTTTTTAAAACCCCTTTCACGGTATTGCTGCTGTAATATCATATTTGAGGCATGAAAAATCATAAGAGTCTTTTCCAACAAATCCTCATCATTCATAACATCCCAACATAATTTCAATTGGGAAGTTATTCGAAATACAACAAAGTTATACTCACTTACGGTCTTAAAATCTTGCAACCATAAGTGCATCTACTCATATCGAGGCCTTGGCAATACCGTAGCCTTAAGGTGATCATACATTTTCTTCAGGCCAGTCCACAATTCAAGTGGATCTTTCACTGTCAAATATTCAACCTTCAAGCCTTCGTCCAAATGATGATGAAGGAAAATCATGGCCTTCGCTTTGTCTTGGCTTGATGCCTCATTACCCTGAGTAATAGTGTTACCAAGGCCTTTAGCAGCTAAGTGAATCTCAGCATCGAGAACCCATGATAGGTAATTCTTTCCAGAAATGTCAAGTGCCACAAACTCAAACTTTGACAAATTCAACATAGTGAAAATTATCAAAGATGATAAATAATTAGAAATCATTAGGATAATAGCATAAAGAATCTTAAAAATTGAGATAATATTAAATCTGTGATCTATATATACTAAAGTGATAATTCCATAGAAAAGAATGCTAATTGTTTCTTCAAATTATTAGTATATCTTTGATGTTAACTAGAACAAAAATGTCTTCTAACTTTAACACAATTTCAAATGTCGAACAACGTAAAATAAGTATTCTTCTCTCAATTAATTCTATTAACATGAAAATTAGCAACTGTCACATGACAATCATACAAATAACGTAAAATAAAGAAACATAGAATTCTTTATTTTTACACGTATCTAGAGATGTGAGAAATTATAAAACTGCATATTAAAGATACTAATCATGAAATCAAAATATACAACGAAGAAAACAAAATGAACAACTATACCTGAAGAACGAAAAAGCTCGACTTCGTGATGATAACGTATTAAGAAATGTAGCTCAAAGTAACAATATAAAACAAGAAGATAAGTAGAATAAGAGAATAAGAGATAACTTTCTTATTTTATCAAGTGTTCCAAGTGTGTTCCATCTCACATTTCATGCCTCTATTTATACTATTACATATGACGGTTACAAAATAATTGTCTTAAACATGACATTAACAATTGAAATCATGGGGGAAGATCATGGGGAGGGGTTATGGAGGAGTGGAAGTTACAATCACAATAGTGATGAGTAGTAAGAGGTTATTTACATCGTGGGTGAAAGTAGTGGGAGTAGTGGACATCCACATTTACTAAAGATTTTATAACAATTAGAATATTTTTACATTAAAATGCAATTAATAATTAAATACTTAAATAGAAGGATAAGGCTTAAGAGGGGATGTCGTGTGTTGATGGTACAATAATCTTTCTTATTTAGAGGTCGTTTGGTAGAGTGCATAACACAAAATAATGCTTGCATTAGTTTTGTGTATTAGTAATACCTTGTTTGGGATACTTTTTCAACATATGTATAACTAATACAAGCATTAGTTATACATCCTATTTGATATTATCCTGTGTATAGCTAATGCATAGCAAATCCATGGTATTAGTAATACCAAGGCTATCAATGCATGCATTAGTATGTCTAAAGACCAAATTGTCCTTAAAATTCCTTAAAACTAAAGAATATAGAGGGCATTTTTGTAAACAACTAATTTTTGTAAAAATTATGCAATGCATTTTAGTTTTTAATACACCACACCAAACAATATATAAAAAATAATCTCTGCTTAACTAATGCTTGCATTACTAACACATGCATTACTAATCCCTGCATTACTAATATACCATATTCAACATTATTCTTATACACCCTACCAAACGACCCCTTATAGTTCGGAATGCATGTTCTATTTCAATATGGTACTTGTCACGCTTGGTAGGGTATTTACCAATTTATAATCGAAGTTGTGATTTAATTTGCTTTAAAATTATAATCACCTGAATTATATGCACATTGTAAATGGCGCCAAATCGCAATTTATTTCCAATCACAAATATCACACTTGACAATATCGATAAGCTAATATATAGAACTTCTTACATCTGAATCGGGAAAAAAAAGTTGGCAAATCCAAGACTTTGTGAGGCCTTATAGGATCACAAAGAGAGGAAAAATCATAACTAGTCATTCATTGTAAACTTATATTAGCCGCTAGCCATAAATTATAATATACATTTTATAGCCCTAAATTTATTCTAATGGCTAGCCGCGGAAATTAGCAAATCAAACTGACGCGGAACACAAGGGGAAATGAGGGAACGGGAATTGAAAGGTAAAATATTGAGTTGACTCTTAATTTCTTCATAGAAAAACATTCATCATTTGATTCTTTTTGGCTTTTATGCTATTTAGATATTGATATTTTTACACATATTTGTGAGGAATATAAAAATAAAATTTTTGTCATAAATGTTGATTTCTATCATCTGATGGAAGGGGCAAAAAGGATAGGTGTCGTGTACACAATAATCACACATGTTTGGGTCATTACATTCTTTTTATACACATTATTATATCATTTAAATTCATAGTCTGAAAAAGATAATGCCAAGAAATTGATTTATGACTTTTTATATACGAGTCAAAGATGTGGCCATGCTATAAGTGATCGATGGATAATTAAAACTTCACAAAACCACTATAATTGAAAATATTTGTATGATCACCTATTCTCCGATTACCGAATTAAAACGATTAAATTACATCCAAATTATACACAATCACTATATATAAAAATATATATTTATATAACTACAGTCTTACTATACAAAAATTATACAACATATAATACTACTTATACAAAAAATATACAAATTTATATAACGAATCAAAAATCTTTCAAATGTTTCCCCATACTACAATTTGTGTACACACTAGTATAAAATATATATACACTTTTTACACATCCTAATNTTTTCCCTCCGTTGGGTTTCGTGATGGCACCTAGTCTTAAGGACTAGGTAAGCCTAATATTTACAGAAGAACAACAATAATAAATAACAACTTAAATTTTTTTTCTGGAATGAATCTTTTATACAATGAGCATATTCCCAAAACCCGATAGTGCAAGTCATAAGCTCTACAGAGTTAGCTACCACTTCTATATAAACTATTTGGAAAAGAGTGAAAACAGTTGAATACAAGTAAGAAGGTGACTCTGAAGCCTGCGAACGCAGCAACAGGTTTACCTTGAGTCTCCTCAGCAATGATACGCACAACTACTAACGATCCACACCTGGATCTGGACAACAAAAATGTGCAAAAAAGTAGCATGAGCACACCACAGCGGTGCCCAGTAAGTATCAAGACTAACCTCGGTAGAGAAGTGACGAGGAACAGTCAAGACACCTACTGGTCTAATAAACTGTACAAATATAAGCATAGGATCAACGGAAGATGATGTATACATATAAAGACTACACACTATGGCTAACAATACAACAATCACAGTAAGGGAAGAAAAACAACAAGTAACAGCGGAAATACCATAATAATGACATAGAAGAGCGAGCGAAATCACACCAAAACCTAAATCACAAATATAGTAAAGATAAGAAATAACTCAGAACCTACGACAGTGTTCACATCAAGTCTTAGCCAACGGACACCACGAAATACCAAACCTCGGACAACATACAGCTCACGGGTCCCAATACCTAAACCCTAACACTTGGCATTCGGTGCCCCTATCACAACTCATGGTCACGCTGATACTCACTTACTAACTAGAGCTACTCTCATATCTATGACAAGTAGACGAGGGTGTACATCTATACTCAGCAATGTCAGGAGAACTTCATATCCAATGAGAGTGTTCAACTACGTGTATGCTTGTACAAGTGCTTTAACATAGTTCATACCAGCTAATAAGCATAAGGAAAAGAACGGACAACACGTAAGATGTTTTCTCACAACTTCCACAAGATAAAACTCATACAGGTAAACGTACCGCAATACAATATCAAATAGAAAGAATGCCCACAGGCTATCACAAATCATCATAATCAATCCCTGACATAGCGCACCTTGTCTCGCCGCATGCGCAACCCCCCCACATATATATATGCATATCCCGCCTTGTCACGCCGCATTTGCAATATGTCAATAGTAGCAATAGCACGACAGAAACCTCGTGCAACCCCATAACAATAACCGCATGGCAGAAACCTCGTGCATCACAATATCAACAACCGCACGGCAGAAACCTCGTGCACCACCACAACAAGTACCATAGCAACAATGACAATATATACAAGAACACGACAAGTAAATCAACTCGAGAACTTTCGATCACAAGGAGAGAGTAAAACTAGATCACAAGGAATAACCACAATAGAGAATACTAAGCGTAATAAGAACATCTCAACAAGGAAGAAAATAATGTGAAGCAACGATCCCACAATATGTAGTTCAACAACAAGGAAGCTAACACGAATCAAATAATTTCAAATAAGGAAATGTCAACTAAATATAGGATACCTAAACTTCTTTCAAGGTTGGGCAAATTACGAAGAATATACAACAATTTCAATTAAGGATGAGCAGCGGGAAGATAATCATAACCTCGGTTAAGACTAAATAATTACAGGAGAGATAATAATGGTTTCCAATAAAGATAAGCAGTTATGAAAGATAGCATGACAATAGAAGAGGTAAAAATCTTCAATTAAGCAAAATAAGAGTCAAATAGGCAATAAGAATGAATTATAAAACAGTTAATTCCAATTAATGCATGTATAGGTGAAACTAGCAAATGGAAGCTAAATCATATCAAGAACAACTTCATACTCAGTGAATACAGGGACCTAAGAACTCTAAAAGGCCAACTTTTCACAAATAAGTTCGAACATGCACTCGTCATCTCGCGTACACGGACTACAATCAAAATAGAAGACTCAAATCCTAAAGGGAAGCCCCCCCACATGAGGTTAGTCATGATACTTACCTCAATCCGGCCAATTCAATATAATTTAGCTTTTCCTTTACCAATTCATCAATGCTCGGCTCAATTTAGCCAAAAACAACTTGAATACATCAAACATGCAAGAGAAAACAATTTCAATTAACAAAACTATGATTTTTATACAATTTGCAAAAAGTCAACAAAAGTCAACTCCCTGAGCCCGCACCTTGGAACCCGACAAAATTTACAAACACTGAATACCCATTCCGATACGAGTTCACCCATACGAAAATTATTTAATTCCGACACCATTTGGTCCCCCAAATCATCATTTTACATTTTTGAAAGATTTTACAAATTTTCCCCAAATTTTCCTTTAGATTCTCATGAATTTGATGTTAAATCTAAGATATAATCACAAAATATAGTTGGAAATTGATTAGAGACATTTAACCAATGATTTGGAGAAGTTTGGGTTTTTGGAAAATCGCATATGGAGGTTTAGGGTTTGAGAAAATTAAAAAATGGGTGAAAATCCCGTCAAAAATCTCACTTAATAAACCTCAGATGTCGCATTTACGAACCCTCACAATTGCGAACAAGGCAGGGCTGGCAAAAGTCGCAGTTGTGATAAAAAGTTTGCATTTGTGAACAGGTCATTCAATTGCGATGAAAAAGTTCGCATTTGCGACAACACCATAAACCAACAATTTTTTCCGACACGAAAATGAACATAACTTCCTCATACAATGTAAAAATTCGATGATTCTTTTTTCTATGACTCCGTAATTTCGATACGGATCTAATGGTTCAATAAAAATTGAATTTGGATCTCATTTTCTCAATATGGTATCATTTTTGCTTGAAGAATTGACGATGAAGCATCCAAAAACAAGCGCAACATAGCCTAAACCTATTCAAAACTCACCCAAGCCCTCGGGGCTCCAAACCAAATATGCACGCAAGTCTAAAAACATCATACAGACTTGATCGTATGATAAAATCATCAAAATAATATCAAAAACTATGAATTTAACCTCAAAACTTATGATTTTCTAACTTTTCAACCGAACGTCCAAATCACGTCAAATCAATTCCGATTCTCACCAAATTTCACAAATAGGACTTAAATATCATAACAAACTTGTACCAAACTCCGGAACCAAAATACGAGCCCGATACCAACGAGTTCAAACATTAATTCATTTCTTTATTTCCTTTAAAAACCAGCACAACAATTTTCTTCAAAAATTATTTTCTAAGACTAGGGACCTCGGAATTCAATTCCGGGCATATGCTCAAGTCCCATATTTTTTTGCGGACCTTCGGGATCGTTGAAACACAGATCCGGGTCCGTTTACTAAAAATATTGACCAAAGTCAACTAAAAACCAAATTTTAACTCTAGAATTACTATATTTTTCATATTTTCACATAAATGCTTTTCGGTTTCATGCCCGGACTGTGCACACAAGTCGATACATATAATATGAAGCTATTAGTGACCTCAAACTACCGAACCGGACATAATTGCTCAAAACGACCAGTTGGGTCGTTACTGTCACACCTCCTTTTTTACCACCCGAAGGGGATATAAGGGAGTTTTTCCAATTAAAGTGACATTATTCGAAATGAGATTATTTTATTTAATTTTATAGAGTTGCCATTTGGGATATTTATTATGGTGTCCCAAGTCACCGACTTATTTTTAAAATCCAAAATCAAGGAATTTTCGACTTTATTTTAAAAGTCTGCGAACCAGAAATTCTAGATAAAGAATTCTGTTAACCCGGGAGAAGGTATTAGGCATTCCCGGGTTCCGTGGTTCGAGCACAATCGCTTAAATTATTAAAATTGGTCTAATTATCTGATTAATACATGTTTTAAGAACCGCCTTTTTAAAACATTTTTAGCTGTATAAACCTATTGTACATTTTTAGCTGTATAACCGCCTTTTAATTATTTTAAAAACCGCTTTTAAGATTTATGGAATTATTTCTTGAACATGTTACGATTGTCGTACACTTGTTTATTTTGGAACAAGCCGTGAACCACGCTACATGAAATACACCCGCGATTCACGACATGTTTATTTTATTAATATTTGAAGTTGTTATGATCGGGTTACATGAAATGCACCCCCGACTTTGGGAATTAGGTATCATGACTATGCCACGGGAACCGTACCCATAGCCACGATAATCTATTATAAAACGCGCCTAAGGCAAGCTACGGATGTTCAAGGGTGTTTTCTATACTAAGTTAATATTAATGTGAGGGCTATAGCTTATGGATTTATTTGTGAATGACACTCAAATTATTTCATAAGATTGTACTCAACTAAAGCAAAATAAGATGCTCATATTTAAAACTAATTTGAAGTTCAATATAAGGCTACTAATTATATATATGCTTGGGGTAGTTTGGATTAAATTCATTTCTTTTAAAGTCTAAATTTGTGTAAACTTCAAATTCATCTGACCCTTAATTCTGCTTTGTTTCTAACAAATTTAAAAAAACAATCTGCTTAAGATTGACTGCTGATGATATTTTACAAAATGGAGGTTTTCTTTTGATTCTTCAATAAAGGTTAGAACAAAGAATATTAAGCAAATAAAAAATAAAAATCAAACTAAACACAAAGCAAATCGATAGGCGATTGAATATAGGACGCAAAATGACCCATTCTGCATTAAAAACGTCTTTGGCATCCTAGTTCCCACTTCCAACTAGGATTGGAAAAATCATAAACTACAAATTAACAATAAAATTCCATTCTGCAACATCAAATTTCTGCAAAGGGAACGTCATATTTGTACGAGCAGATAAAATGCTTAACAATCGGATTGGCAGCGATTAACCTTACACCTATACCCCTCCAAAAGAAGTTTAAGTAAGAAATGAAAAGATCAAAAGGTTCAAAGGAACATCCTCGAATCTATGAATGTTAAAACAGAATAAGAAACTAGTAATTCAAAATGCTAAAGCATTGATAGAAAAACAGAAATTTAGAGCCAAACGAGATTAATTCCAATAACTTCACAACTAACATGCATCTTCCATTAGAGACACATTTCCTATTCAATTGACAATCCAGAATTTAAGAGAAGTACCTGCTAGGCGAAAAATAATGAGGACGAAGCTCAGTAACGGTTCCAGCAAACAGCAAAGTCAGAGAGAATCGAACGGCAAATTCAAGTCCAGAACAACTTTCAGAGACCCAAAAATAGAGGAAATCAAGATTTGAAATCAGTTCTTCAAATCTCCATTGAAAATTCTAATTTTTTCTTCCTATTTTTAGCTTTTGATTTTGTGGATCTGGTTTTTCTTTTTGTTGGTATTTTGCAGCTGCTATTATCCTGGGTGTATGTGAAAGTGAAGAGGGAGAAGAGGGGGTGGGTCGTTTCTGATTGTTCTCTATGAGAGGGGAGGAGTCCATTTTTGTCTATGTTGAAGAGGGCAGAGAGCAACATTGTTTCTCTCTATCAGGAAAGGGGAAGGTTTACGATTTTCAGCCTTAGCCTTTTTTATGTTAACGGGGAAAGGTATTGTTTTATTGAAGAGGGAATTGGGCTGGCCAGGCGTGGGAAATTGGGTAAAAGAATCACATTTGGGCCATTGCATTTGCTCTTTGGGGTGACCCAATATAAAAAAACCCAGCCTATTCTTTTGTTTTCTTTCTTTTTCTTTCTTTTCTTTAATTAATTAAAATCCTAAATCAATCTATTTTTGTAGAAATTAATGTTTTTAATCTATTTCTAACATTAAAATAACTAGTTAACTTAAAACTAAATAAAAATACTACTTTCTAAAGACTAAAAGCTAAATGTGTAAAAAATGACCATTTTTTTATAATTTTTGCTCAATGTAATTAATTCCTAGATGTAAATTGAACCTAAGATGTCATGAAATTAACACGTGAAAATTTTTTATGATTTTAAAATATTAAAAATGCATGAAATGCAACTAAATAAAGAAAAACTCCTAAAAATTAATTAAAATGATTTTTGATCTATTTTTAGGAGTTATTTTCATGTAGGGCAAAAATTAGGTGCTCACAGCTGCCCCTCTTTGCTCGGAAACATGAAGAGTTTTCGGTCAAAGATAAAGTGAGTAACTACGAGCAATTTTTTGCCCGTTTGAAACTCCATTTGGAAGCATTTTGAAAACGTTTGACCGAACCTTGCTTCGGAGGTTACCTACATATCCTTGGCTATAAAAGAATCAGGTCGGTGTAGTTCTGGAAGTTTTGGTAGCTGAGACTACCGAGAAACTGTGATTTTACTGTTGTTTCTATTATTTCTGCTTGCTGAGCTCCTTATTACACCAAAATAAAAAATAAAAAGCTAAACTAGCTAAGCCTATGACTTTGAGTTACAAGATTCCTATATATAAATCTTCTGGAGCTCGATCTTGAGTCTTGACTTGATGCGGACTCTGATCTGAATCTTGATGCTCATTAGCTGCAGGCACTGGTTCATTCTTCTTCAGTTTTCGAAACAAGACGGGACTTGCAAGGCTTGCAGCTTCAATCATGCCTTGAGTAGTCTATATCTTTTCCGCCTCTGCACTTTGTTTCACTTCTTTTCTTTTGTTCTTTTATTTTATTTGGATTGAGACTTCTTATTTTGGTCATCTCAACCTCGTGCCTTACGGTAAAAACCTGTTCAGGCACCAAAACAAATAAACGAACCAAATTTTTCTGCCCTAGTTTTCACTAGAAAAATTTCGTGAGTTATTGTAACAAAAATTTAAACTACTTCTTTATTGAAAGTAGTAAAATCAGGATTGTGTATCCTTGGAAAAAAGAGATTAGGGAGTGGAGTCCTATATCTAAAATGAAATCAAATGGGGATCGGAGGCCCTAAGTTGGAAAGATTACCAGGTTATGCTGACATCAACTAAGGAATGAGACCCTGTGCCGAAAAAGATTACCAGGTTATGCTGGAAAAATCATCGGGTTATGCCAGAAAGGTCCTCGGGTTATTCCGGGGAAGTCCACGGGTTATGCTGGGAAAGTCATCGGTTATGCCGGGAAAGGTCCTCGGGTTATGCGGGGAAAGTCATTGGGTTATGCCGGAAAAGGTCCCCGGGTTATGTCGGGGAGGTCCACGGGTTATGCCGGGAAAGTCATCAGGTTATGCCGGAAAAGGTCCTCGGGTTATGCCGGGGAGGTCCACGGATTATGCCGGGAAATTCATCGAGTTATGCCGGAAAATGTCCTCGGGTTATGCCGGGAGGTCCACGAGTTATGCCGGGAAAGTCATCGGGCTATGCCGGAAAAGGTCCTCGGGTTATGCTGGGAAAGTCATTGGGTTATGCAAAAAAGGTCCTCGGGTTATGCCGGGGAGAGTCATCGGGTTATGTAGAAAAGGTCCTCGGGTTATGCCGGGGAGGTCATCGGGTCATGCTGGAAAAGTAATCAGGTTATGTCGGAAAAGGTCCTCGGATTATGCCGGGGAGGTCATCGGGTTATGCCGGAAAAGGTCCTCAGGTTATGCCGGAAAATGTCATCGAGTTATGCTGGGGAGGTCATCGGGTTATGCCGAAAAAGGTCCACGGGTTATGTCGGGGAGGTCCACGTGTTATGCCGGAAAAGTCATCGGGTTATGCCGGAAAAGGTCCTCGAGTTATGCCGGGGAGAGTCATCGGGTTATGACGGAGAAGTCATTAGGTTATGCCAGAAAAGGTCATAAGTTTATGCTGGGAAGGTCATCGGGTTATGCCGGAAAAGGTCCTCGGGTTATGTTGGAAAGGTCCACGGGTTATGTCGGGGATTCATCGGGTTATGCCAGAAAGGTCCTCGGGGTTTGCCGAGGAAAGTCATCGGGTTATGCAAGAAATGTGCTCGGGTTATGTCGGGGAAGGTCATCGGGTTATGCCGGAAAGGTCCTCGGGTTATGCCGGGATACACTCAATATACACTTTGGATGCACAAGCACACTCGAGATGGGCTCAATATAGACTAAGGAAATGGTGTCAAACTTAGGATACAATGTATATACATTGCAAAATAATATATATACAACTTTTCTACAAAACTATAATACATTAAACCTATGTTGTATGTACAACTTTATACATACACACATATGTTGCACACAATATATATTAAGGATACACTGTCGAACTTAGGNTATATATAGTTGTAGTTGGTTAGCAATGTATGCACTTTTGAGTTACCCAAAATAACCTTATTGTTTTTTACTACCTCATTAAATTTATGGACATTTTTGTCTTTTCGTCAAAATTTCCCCTAATCCCTTTTCTTCTGCAATTTTCAAAATAGAGAAGTGTGTAGTGCTCCTCCCTTTTTTCAGACTTGCAATTGCAATTGAAGAACATCTGCTTGAAATTGAACAGAGCATTGAGTAAGCAAAAGCTTTTGTCCTAATGCAACTGCTACCATACCTTTATTCTTATCATTCCACAACATATTTCATTGTCACGATCCGAATTTTTCACAGTCGGGATCGTGATGGCGCCTAACATTATACTTGCTAGGCAAGCCAACGTTACAAATTATTTCGCCTTTTTCTTTTTTCTTTTAAAAATTTACAAGTTAACATAAGTAAATCCGCGAAATAAATGCGGAAGAACAAAATTTAACAGATTATCTTAATACAAATACGAAACCATAATAAAACTCCACCCAGAACTAGTGTCACAATCTCACGGACAGTCTACGAATACTACAAACAATGGTCTGAATAAAGAAATGTACATCTGTTTGTAAAGTAGATAAACATAAAAGAAATAGGATAGAAGGGGACGCTAGGGCCTTTGGACGCCTGCAGGACTACCTTGGGTCTCCACTGGACTGAAGTCAACCACCCAAGCTCTACTCACAATGTCCGGCACCGAGATCTGCATAGAAAGTACAGAGTGCAGTATCAGTACAACCGACCCCACGTACTAGTAAGTGTCGAGCCTAACCTCAGCGAAGTAGTGACGAGGCCAGGACACGGCAAACATCATAAACCTATGCAGTTAATCAATATAATAACATAGTAACAAGTAATAAAAACTAAGCAAAAATGTACGAGAAGAGGCACATGCTATGGGGGTTTCAACATAAAGAATTACAACAGTAAAGGAATTTAAACAGTTAAAACACTTGAACTGATAAGAGCAAATGAATATAGCAAACAGAAAATGCACGACATCACCCTTTGTGTTTTACTCTCAATCCTCATCAAGCAGTCAGTAATAAAAATGTGCACAACATCACCCTTTGTGCTTTATCACTCTTACTCACCATATGAATAATAGAAACGTGCACAACATCATCCTTCGTGCTTTATCTCTCTTTCTCACCATATGCATCAATATAAATGTAAATGTGCACGACATCACTCTTCGTGCATTATCACTCTTCCTCACCATATGCATAACTATGAATGTGCACGACATCACCTTTTGTGCTTTATCACTCTTTCTTCACCCAAATAGTAGAAACAATAACATCCCGGCAAGGGAATAAGCTATAACCAATCTCATTTCAACAAGTACTTCACAAAATAAATCTCAACTTGAGTCAATACTCAACAATGGTCAATTACCAAGAAAATATCATAAGTCTTGTTCAACATAGATAATCATCAATTTAAGTATGAATAACACATAATAAGAATTACAACGGTCACAGTTTAAGACTCACTTGCATTGCTCGACACCAATGTATAGATACTCGTCACCATACCTATACGTCTTACTGTCACGACCCAAACTGAAGGGCCATGACTAGCACCCGACCACACTTGCCGAGCACCA